GATAAAATTAATTTAGAAAGCACTCCCCCGGGGGTGTATGGATGCCAGGCCCCCGAGCTGTGGTCTTCGAGTAACCTCGGCTCCTGGAGTCATTTAGTTGAATAGCCCTGGTCTTCACTGTTTTCATTTGCAAACAGTTTTAACAATAAAAAGTGTTAAAGTTGAGGCATCAGATTTTGCACTGAAGTAAAAGTTCTAATAGAAAAAATGACCTGATTTCCATCTGATTGAAGCTGATCCAGCGTCTCTAAGCTGCGTCTGAACTGGCCTCATTTAAACACAKATCACACTGGAATAAACTGGAACGTAACGGAATTGCACTTGTTTTGTTTAAACTTCTCTACTGTGGTTTCTGTTGTGAATTGTTCTTTATAAAATAAACTGGATTGAATGTGTTTGAATTTAAAGCTTCTCTGGACTTTTAATTTGCTAAAAAAAAAGCAAGCACCGTGTTTAAAGAGAATGGAAAGTGTGGGTTAGAGAAAAGGTTATCTGTAGGTTGGTGTTTCCTCTCAGGCAAGATGACACCTTTTAGCCCACACACATAAACCATCCACCAGCTGTCTCTGTCAGCTCTGAGGCAAACAATACGAGGCCCTCTGTCACACCTGGCGCAGCCGCTGAGTTGGTTTGCAGGAAAGCGGCTGTAAATGTTGCTGGAGCTGAAGAAATGTTGCTTTCCTGTTTTTATTTGGAGGCGGGGATGTGTTGTGCCAGCTGTCCTGTCGCCCATCTGCCAACCCTCCTTTCAGTGTCCCAGCCCACTTCCACGGTGCCACAGTGAACCTGCTGCACATTTTCTCTCACGCCAGCCACATGTCACTGGAAAGAATCTATTGCACTATCAGCTCATTSACAAAAAGCTGTAAAGAGGCCTGCCTGCACGATAAAGCCCTTTGAGTAAAGACAGCAGGTTTTCCTTTGGGCCACAAAAGTCAGTATGTGGCGTCTTGAAGAGAATCAATAATAATATTTAACCTTAAAGCTGTTTTTTATCAGAAATGTTACAGAGGTGTACTAATTTTAGTTTATAAAAACTTGAAATCTTGTATTTTAATCTCAAATAAGACTGCTGTAAGGGCCTTACACATTCTCACTGGCTGAGTAGTTAACACTGTATCAGATTGAATGACCAGTAAAAATCTCTATGACTAAAGCAGCATGAGAGATTACTGATGACAGGTCTCCACCTAAAAAGTGAACTGCTGTGCTCATTTTTTAACGATGACTTGCTAATAATCTCAAATCACAGCCCAGCACATGTAAGCTATCACAGAGGCCCTTTCAAAATAAAGTCATGGTTGACTTTGGTTTGTAAAAAAGCTAAGAAACATTAATAGCTGACCTGTTTAAATACAGTGGGTAAAATAAATATTGAACACGTCACCATTTTTCTCAGTAAATATATTCCTAGAGGTGCTAATGACATGAAATTTTCACCAGATGTTGGTAACAACCCAAGTGATCCATACATAAAAAGAAATAAATGTCCAGAAATGAAGTTAAAGTTGAACATACATCCATCCATCCATCCATCCATCCATCCATCCATCCATCCATC